CCGCAAGCGCCGCCGGGGCCGCTCCGGGCGGCCGCCCCCGTGGTGGCGCGGGTGGCCCCCTCCGTGGGCCCGCGGCCGGTGGCACCCAAGGGGCCGCCCACGGCCACCCTGCAGGTACCGGCCAACTTCCAGCTGCCCCCAGGTGAGTGGGTGCCGGGTCCCGGGTGGAGAGGCAGCGGGGCGCCCCTCGCCCTGCCCTTGCGGCGGCGGGGGGGGGACCGGCGGCTGCCGGTGCCGTGAGGGGCTGTTTCACGCGTGTGGCGAAAAGTTGGGGGCGGGTTGCTCTTTCTGCCCCAAACTTGCGGGAAGCGGGGTGTTCGCCGGTGCGGCGGGGCGCTGGGGAGGTGAAGGGGTGAAGCCGCTCAGCGCTGGGGATGCTTATGGCACCCGGGATGCTCGGGGCGCCTCGGGAGGACGGGTCTGGAAGCCTCTGGATCTGAGGCAACTTTTCACTTCGCTGGGCAGGACGAGGAGCAGGAGGACCGTCTGAAAGCTCCGTGGGCAAGTTACCCTGTGGTCTGTGACTTGAAGTGAGACGAGTTGAGGCTTTCGTGGAAGTTGGGTGAAGGCGTGAGCGTGGGTTTTGCCACCGCCAAGCAGCTCCCGCGCTCGGTGCGGGTCTCACGGCTCTCCCTCCCCCGCCGAGCGGGCTCTGCCGGGGGGAATCGCCTTCCCTCTTCCAACCAGGCCCGTGTGAACCGTGATCGAACCAAAATATCACCCTGCGTGAGGAGGGCGATGTTGAAATTTCATTACGGGAGGCCCTTTGAAGCGCTTTTTTTTTTTCTCTAAAGGGTATTTGGGACATGAAGAGTTTAGAGAGGTGGTGCCACACTTACAGATGTGCTTCCTATAGGGGCGAAGAAAATATAGGAATCGTGTAGTGCTGATGATAACGATGGTTTAATTCTTTGGATAGCAGCAGAGGGTCAGCCGGGGCTCCTACCTGCACTTTCTCACAAGAAGAAGGTGCTGTTGATTCAAAACTTCCCGCTCTCCCCTGTCAGGCTGTATTTAAGTGTTTTTTTAAAAAACAGAAAGTGACTTGGATTCCGCTGGTCTTGGTCTCGCTATATTGAGACCCCAAGATATGTTGTTGCTTTATTGCTATTGTTGCTATAATTATTTCCTGCCAGGAGAGTTCCTTTGTTGGAGCATCTGTTGCAATTACTGTCAGGTAGGATGTTGCTTAAAAGGATGGCTGGTTTTACATTAATTCTTGTGCTACTGGTGCATATTTGCATTTTTTCCTTTTTTTCTTTTTTTTCTTCCTTTCTTTCCTCTTTTTTCCTCCCCCATGTCTTTATCAAAGACGTGCACCTTTCAAGGAAATATTTAATGTAATTTTAAAAAGTATTGTCTTTAATCAGTAAGTTTCACTGTAGATTTCCCAGCACTCGTGTGATGCTATAATATCTGGATAGTCAGCGGTCAAGGATGAGTCTAAATCTTTGCCAACTTTCCTCCAAAATGAACCATGATGGAAATATATTAATTTTTTTGTAGTAGAGCCTCCCAGATCTTCAGGTTCTAGTATTCTGGCTTTCTGGAAAGTATTGACATTCAGTTAAACATCTTTCTGTGAAAGTGAACGCTCATGAGAGTCGCCTGCAGTTTGGGAACTACAAGTTAGCAAAACTTTTGGTTTTCCTAGTAGCTTGGGTTTGATTACATTGAGGCATCCTGCTGAATGTCATCTGACTTGTACCCTGGCAGTAGAGAGATGTAACAAAAGAGCGTTACCCTTCAGTTGCATCAGCTAGTTTTCCTTGCTCCTGGGACAAGAAATGAAGCGAGCAGACTTTGTATTGGAAGTTCAGAGGTGCCGGTGCTGTGCAGCCTTGTAAATTAACTGTAAGAAGTTTAATGCTCCAGGAGGAGCGTAGAAGTTGTCAGATTTCAAATGGATCAATGTTTCAGGGAAACTCGTCTAAATAATTGCCATAAGGATGATTTAAAAAAGCATTCTGGCTTGAGTAATAGTATTCTGCCTTTGTCTTCTATGTGGGTTCAATTTTTAATGAATAATAAAATAACTCAGAAATTTAAATGCAAGATGAATAGCGTTACAGCTGCAAGTATTAGCATCCTTAAAAAAAAAAAAAAGTGGAATAAGCATTGAATTCTTAAGCTTGAAAAGTTTGTATTCCAAATAAATTCCAAAATCTACCTGTGCAGGCTAAGATACAGAAGGGAGAATGCACTTGGCTTTAAAATCACAGCATTCAGCCTGTGGCACCTGCTAAGAAAAATGCATACAGAAGGCATCCTTCCTTTGAGTTTCAAAGGGAGGTATTTGAGCTGGCTTGTTCTGAGGAAAGCTGGACATTGCTGGTCATCCTGAAGTACTCGTGAACTTTTCAAAAAGCTCAACTGATGCCATTGCTGCTGGTTCCAGGGCCGTGACAGCAGCTGCCAACACTCTTCACTGTGCCATCAGCTACCTCTGTTGTGTATATTTCTGTTTCACACTTTCCATTATTGCTAACACCAATGGGCCTTGAACATGCATGGTGTCAGCAAAGAGAAGTTGCCCCGAGTGTGCCTAGTAAGCTGGAGCAAGGCATGGCTGCCACATGAAGTTTCCTTTGCACCTGACTTGGAGGGGAACAGCGGTGGCTAACAGGTTCTTGTGTTCTGTTTGCAGCTCAGTTGTTTTCCCTTGGATGTTTTGGCTTTGTCCCTGGCAGGTTCTCCACTGCCTGCAGCTTGTCTAGGCTGATAGCGGGTGAGTGTTCAGAAGGCACAACCGCTGTGCGTGGCAGGTGGCCAGGGCTGTGTGGCAAGAGGCAGCGTGTGGACACCTGCGGGTGGGAGGGAGAGAGCTGATGCGGGGATCCCAAAGCTCCTGTGGAGCCATATGAAGCCTGACCTTGTCAGTTTTCTCTTAGCTGGGTATAGAAAGTAAGGTAACCTGAAGAGGTAAGGGCTGGTAAACATCTGGATGCTGCCGACTTGTGCTTTTGAAGTTGGCCTAATACCTCTCAAGTACAGTACCTGAGTCTCCCTCTTCATGTTCTAGTTGTTATTTGTTGGTTGATATTTTCATATTTGCATCTGGTCCTTCACTTTGGAATAGGACGAAGCACTGATTTTAAAACACTTCATAGATGATATTCTTTTGGGCAGGAGGAGGCGATCCAAAGATTCCTTGTTTCAACAAGACAAAAATCTAGAAACTCCTTCAAAGTCTGCAATTTCTGGATGTTGATAATCCTATGAAGCCTAAGCATAATACTTGTGCTGTGGGATGACCAGTAGGGGCTAAATAATACATGGTTGCAACCTTTTATATCCCGATAGTGTTCTCTTTTTAGTGGGTTTATCAGGATGTATTGTTTACAAACTTCTCTCTTCACAATGGGCGACACCAGTCAACTTTTCTTCTGAGGAGGGGTCAGCAAAGCTTTGTCAGACTTGAGGAGCTAAGTCAAACTTAAAAAACAGTGAGTAAATATCTTCTGCTGTAACCAGTAGAAATTTCAGCTGCTCTGTAGGACTTGATTTTGCTTTCAGGACTGAATGTGTCTAGCAGACAATGCCTTCATATCATTAAATGCACAGCCCTGTAGGGATTATGATTTAAATCTTGGCAGAAGATATAAAGCTAACTTCTAGATTTATGATTTTCACAAACAAAACAGATGCCTTCTGAATACCGAAGCACTGAAATATGATGCTCAGTAAAATTAATGTTAAATGATGTTCAAATTTTACAATCAATTGGAGTGTATTGCAAGGAATTACAGCAACAGATTGGTGAATAGTAAACTTTTTTTTTTTAATCCTTAGATGAGAGAGAATGTGAGCCTGACTTCTGTTGTTTTTGCAGTATTTAAAGGACCCATCAGCTTGTAGCAGTAAAAAAAAGCATCATCCACACACAAGTGACAGCTGCAAGAAATACTAATTATATTTCAGTATTCTTTTTCCAAAGATGCTGATAAAGTAGGTAAGCTCATGAGTTGTTATTTTGAGTGCGCTCTCATACCAAATTTTTTCAAGTTATCTTAAAGAACCAAGTATTTATCAAGCTTGTGCTTAGTGGGTAGGATTGTATGTTACAGTTTTGCTGTAAGTTGCAAATGATATGATAATTATCAAAGATTAATAATTGGTACTCCCCTAACCACTTAGATAAAAACCCAAAGGCAAGTACTTTTTTTGGAATTCTTTTTGCATGAAGCTACTTCACTGAAAACTGATGATTTCAGAAGAAAAATGTGTATAACTTGCAAAGTTGAAAAGAACACAATAGATATTTCTAAGTGGTTTGCTACTCAAATTACAGAATCACAGAATCTTAGTGGTTGGAAGGGACCTCTGAGATCAACGAGTCCAACCACAAAAAAAAAAAAAAGAAGAAGAAAAAGAAAAAAAGAAATAAAAAACCCAAAAAAACCAAAACAAAACACACCACACTAAACGCCCACCAAAAACACCACACCCACCAACTAAACCCCACACATAACACCTCACCATAAACCAATAACCTTGGGCACTAGAGCATGCCCTGAAGAGCCATGTCTATATGTTTCTTAAATACCTCCAGGGATGGTGACTCCACCACCTCCCTGGGCAGGCTGTTCCAGGGCCTGACCACTCTCTCAGTAAAGTAGTTCTTCCTAATATCTAATCTAAACCTCCCTTGCCGCAACTTCAGACCATTTCCTCTGGTCTTGTCGTTCGTCCTTTGGGAGAAGAGGCCAACACCCACCTCTCTACACCCTCCTTTCAGGGAGTTGTAGAGGGCAATGAGGTCTCCCCTCAGCCTCCTCTTCTCCAAACTAAACATGCCCAGTTCCCTCAGCCTCTCCTCATAGGACTTGCTCTCCAGGCCCCTCACCAGCTTGGTGGCTCTCCTGTCCTGAATTGTCAGGATTAAGGTCTGTCCTGCCATCTGGGTCACCTTTAAAATGAAGTCCGCTAATGGGTTTTTTCCACCAGTGTCTTGAGGTGGAAAAGAATGGTGGAATGAGGTGGAATGTCTCTCCGATCGCTACTGAAGCAGGGTAAAAATGGCAGCAGATGGAGTATTCTTACTGTTAATGGGCAAATCTAGGGTGTCTTAAGGCTGGAGAACTCGTGAAACTCCATGATTTTACTGGGACGATTTGCTGAACTGAGAACAGTCAGATATTA